TTAGCACCTGTGCTATGTCTTGCCATTCCCTCCTAGCCTGTAGTGTTTCTGATGAGAAGTCTGCTGTGAGTCTGATTGGAGATCCTCTGAGAGTAATCTGATGTTTCTCTCTTGCACATTTTAGGATCTTTTCTTTATGTTTCACTGTGGAGAGTTTAATTACAATGTGTCATGGTGAGGATCTCTTTTGGTCATGTTTATTAGGGGTTCTGTGAGCGTACTCTACCAGGATTTCTCTGTCCTTCTCCAAACCTGGGAAATTTTCTGCTAATATCTCACTAAAAAGGCCTTCTAATCCTTTCTCCCTCTCCATGCCTTCAGGAACTCCTAGAACCCGAATGTTGGGTTTTTTAATAGTATCCTGAAGATTCCCGACAATATGTTTTAGATTCCTAATTTCCTCTTCTTTTCCTTGGTCTGACTGTATCCTTTCCTGTTCTCTCTTCTAAGTCCGATATTCTCTCTTCTGCTTCACCCATTCTGTTTGTAAGGCTCTCTATTGTGTTTTTCATTTGATCTATTGAATTCTTCACTTCAGTCACTATCACAGTTTCCTGTTGTACTAGTTGTTTCATTTCATTTTGATTCCTCCTTAATATTTCATTTTCATGAGAGAGATTTTCTATCTTGTCCATTAAGGATTTCTGTAGTTCAAGAATTTGTTTTTGAGAACTTCTTAATGTTCTTATCAATTTTTTGAGATCTGCTTCTTGCATTTCTTCTATCTCATCATCTTCATAATCTTGAATTGGGGTGTCTTTTTCATTTGGGGGCGTCATGGTGACTTCCTTGTTTTTATTACCTCGGTTTTTGCGTTTGTTATTTGGCATATTGGAGATATTTGGTTTCTTCACTGTGGTGCTTTTTCTTGTTATACTAAGACTCTAGATTAAGTGGACTGTCTCTTTTTGATGGAGCCTTAGAGGCTTGAGATGTTTGTGGCCTGAGAGCTCTGTTTGGTGTGCCAAAGGTGATACTCCCAGGTTAGGCATAGTATATCTCTCTCTCTCTCTCTTTCTTTTTTTGATTCAAAAGGGAAGTAATTCCGCACAGCTGAACAAAGTTGGAGGTAGTTAGCAGGCTAATGATATACCCACAGGAGCCAGAGATTGGAAGCTCTTTCCCGAGGACCACACAGGGAATCTGTTCTGCCCTCAGGGTGGGCTCAGATTCTCCTTCAGTCTCCCACTGGGTTGCCAAAGTTACGGAATTGTAGCATCTCTGGAGAGTACTCATGTGAATTCTGTGGGTTCTCTCCCCCACCGTCTCTTTTTCATAGTCTCAGTTCAGTAGCACCCCAAATTTACTAGGTCCTAATCTCCTGTTAATTCGCCCCGCCCAGAGTCAGGTTTTTCTGCTAGGCTCAGGGCCGATGCAGACCTGAGGTCGCTCTGCTTATGACGTAAGTCCAAGATGGCGCTTGCTCTTTGTCTTACTCGCCCTTGAGAGGTGAGCAGAGAGAGAGAAACCTGTGTCCGTACCAGTCACCTTTTTTTTTCCTCTCTCTCTCTCTTCCAGTTAGCCTGGTGAACTTTTCCCCCCCAGGGGTCGTTCCCTCTAGTCTCCTCTCCCGGCTTGCCTGCCAGTGTCTCGGGTTATTGAGGTTCGGCTCACCTCGCTTTCCAGCGCTGGTCTGTTGAGTCTGCCACTGGTGTCCCGAACTGTGGGCTCCCACGCTCTCCATGCAGGTCCACTGTGAATCACACGTTCCGGAAGAGTTTCTTCTGCTGTTTCTTCCCCTACTCTTCCTTGAATCTGCAGTATCTCCACTTTTATTAAACTGTCTCTACCCGGACTATCAGTGTGCTCCCTTCCTATTCCACCATCTTTCCTGTACTACATTTTTTATTTCATCTTAAACTATTACCCTTTTTCTGCTTTTTATTGTTTGTATTATTTTCCTATCTATTTCTGTTATTATTTTGAGCTTGGATCAGGAACATATTTTTAGGCTATTAACACCGCTTAAAACCAGGAATGTTGGTTTTAAATTAAAAAAATCTAAGAATTTTTAAAGCACTATTAGATAATGAATTTTCAGAAAGCCTGAAGCCTTCCCCCAAATATACATTGTGTGTGTGTGTGTGTGTGTGTGTCTGCATGTATGTATGTATGCTGATATTTGACTTTTCATTCTAGTTTGAAATGTGTTCCTCTAACAATGGGAAATTGTAAGCAAATCAGTCACTGTAGTAGCCTTCCAGACTAAAATGATTTGATAGTTTCAGTGTGAACCACAGCATTTCAGTGTTTTTTTTTCAGTTTTTTGCCTAAGAGGTAGAAATATTTTCATGTAATTACTACTTATCAAAGATGCCATTCCAGCATTTAGAATATAATCATAAATCTCTGTTATGTTGTCATTATTCTGACCTTTTTTTACTGGGTTTAATGTTATAAAATAATATGATGATGCTTGCTTTCATTCTATTTAGGATTTCAAAAGGTAGATTTTGTTTGTCATGTTCTTGTGGTAGCTGATCATCTTCCTTTGTCTTGGTTAAAAGAAATATCAGAATTGGCATTAACTGAAAAGTGCAAATATTTTTAAACTAAAAGATTAGTATGCTTCAGGGATAGCAGTTTTATTGATTTCATGATGTCATCATAGTAAAATATACCATTATTGTTTCAAATACAAAAAATCAAAAGCCTTTCAATGATGGCATGCCACCATTTGCTAGCACATCCTAATGTCAGAAATATAGGAGAAGTACACATCTTAGACTGCAAATATGTTAATTTGTATTGAAATGTCATGAAACCTTGAATGATAATGATGTAGCATTTATGGGGATTTTAAGCATGAACGTATGAAAGTGGAATGTTTTTGCTTGCTCTGAGTTTGGATATAACTCTGGTTTTAATTATCCATGTCCTATTGTTTGCTGGAGCTTATGTGTAATTCTTTCATTAATATATCTCAACAAACCATGCTTTTTTCTCCCAAACTTTTCTCTACTCATCGTTTCAGTTAATTTCATTCCTGTTCTTTATGATCTCTTTTTTTCAACTGTTAAAACTGACCCTTGGCAGGCGCCATGGCTCAATAGGCTAATCCGCCACCTTGCGGTGCCGGCACACTGGGTTCTAGTCCCAGTCGGGGCGCCGGATTCTGTCCCAGTTGCCCCTCTTCCAGGCCAGCTCTCTGCTGTGGCCCAGGAGTGCAGTGGAGGATGGCCCAAGTGCTTGGGCCCTGCACCCCATGGGAGACCAGGATAAGCTCCTGGCTCCTGCCTTCGGATCAGCACGGTGCGCCAGCTGCAGCGCGCTGGCTTCGGCAGCCATTGGAGGGTGGACCAACGGCAAAGGAAGACGTTTCTCTCTGTCTCTCTCTCTCACTGTCCACTCTGCCTGTCAAAAAAATAAAAAATAAATAAATAAAACTGACCCACCTTTTCTCTGTAGGTCGTATTTCCCCCTTTTATACTCTCAGTGTCACTATGCTAGTTGAGGTAACAATTTTCCATCCCTTTTGTGTGTTGCCACAGTAATTTTTAAATAGTGTTTCTCTCTTCTGATTTCTAAAAAAATTAACTGTCTTCTCTGTTTAGATATTTTTAATCACTTATGTTATATATATATGCTGCCTCCCGCCCGCCCCCTCCAGCCCCTCCTGGTTCCAGGCGCCCCTCCTGTGCTTGTGTCCATGCACGTGAAAGCACGCGTGTCCCTCTCCCCCTTGCTCACGGGTTGGTCTGGTGGCAGGGGCCCTGAGGGAGGTGGAGACACTTAGAGGATGGAAAGCATAGTCGGGGCGTGCAGAAGGCTAACAAGGGAGGCAGAGCTGGCTTTGACCTGTAACGTGGAGGCACGAGCCAGTTCCCGAACGGGCTTCCATTTTCCGTGGAGGCAAGTGCAGGTGACAGCCGCTGGCCCCTTGGTCTGTTTATGTGAAACCAGTTCCCGCAGCCCTTGTGGTCTCTCTCTATTGTTACTACAGTTTTTCTTTTCGTTGTTATTTGGGGTTCCTTGTGTTCTGTCTCTCTCTCCGACTCTCCACGCCAGACCCGCAGTGCTGTGGGGAGGAGCCGTGACTAACCAGGCTGCGGTGAGATGTAGCAGGAATCGCTCCCAGCAAGCCGCGGGGCCGGGGCTGCCGCCGCAGTAATCGCTATGGAGTTAAAGCTTTATTTAGCCTTGATCTGTGCCCCCGCCCCCGTAGTAAGGTCTTGCCACATTTTATTAGTGAGGTTGAGAGATGTATTACTTGTTCGTTGTTCTCGTCCCCTCCCCGAGTATTAAACTGTGAAGTTTGTGATTTGTTTAAACTCTGGGTGAATCGTAGCTTGCTTTGCATGTCCAGCTAATTTGTTTCCATACATTTTGTTTGATTATTCTCTCTCTCCTTCTCTCAAGGCTTTTACAAAAAAAATATATATATATATATATGTGTGTGTATATATATGGATCTTCTGAAAAGTTTTTTGAGGTGCAAGTTTTTTTTTGTTTTTTTTTTGTTTGTTTGTTTTTTGTTTTTTCTCTCTGATTAATGGACACGATGCTGAGAGTCAATCACTACAGGAGGAAGCGTCTGGCTGTGAGAGCGAAGCCCCCAGGGTGGTCTCGCACGCAGCTCGGTTGCCCGTTCAGAAAGATTCGTCAGACGTTCGTCTCTTTCCTCTCCCCTCTCTCTTCAAGAAGGAAGTTGATCCTATTGATTTCAGCCCATGCATTAAACAGGAAACAATAATAAATGTGTAGAATTCATATTTTTCTAAAGGGAACTTAAAAAACTGCTGCTACACGTTATGTACAAAACTGGTTTATGCCACATGAACAGAGAATCACAAGTTTGGTTTTGGTACTTTTTGTTCCTCTTTGTATTCAGTTGTATAGAACTTCCAGATTCAGAATGAAAAGAAAGCTGTTCTGTATCAAACCATCTAAAGCAATAAATGTTATATTTTAAAAACGGAAAAAAAAAAGGTTAAAATTCCTTACACTGCCATGAGGTTTTTTTATATTCTAATTTTTGTTTGTTTTTGTTTGTTTTACAGGCAGAGTGGACATTGTGAGAGAGAGAGAGACAGACAGAAAGGACTTCCTTTTTGCCGTTGGTTCACCCTCCAACAGCCGCCGCAGCCAGCGCACTGCGGCCGGCGCACCACACTGATCCGAAGCCAGGAGCCAGGTGCTTCTCCTGGTCTCCCATGCAGGTGCAGGGCCCAAGGGCTTGGGTGATCCTCCACTGCACTCCCGGGCCACAGCAGAGAACTGGACTGGAAGAGGTGCAAGCAGGACAGAAATCCAGCTCCTGGACCGGGACTAGATCCCCGTGTGCTGGCACCACAGGTGGAGAATTAGCCTATTGAGCCGCAGTGCCGGCCTTATATTCTAATTTTATATTTGCTCTATTTCATTGTTATTTCAGGAACTGTGAAGGGAGTGCATGGTGATTTTTTCTATTTTTTATTTTCTGGGATTTTTTCTTAGCTCTGGTGTCTTATTGACTCACTTTTCTTGAGCATTGTGGTTATCTTCTCCTTAGTTATCAAAGATAGCAATAGCCCTGATCTCTTTTTAAGCAAGAAAAGAAAAGCATTAAAAGACAGAGCATGTAGTTCACTTGGTCAGATGACTTTCCTGACCTCCTGTGGTTTGTCTTGGTCTTTGCTGTACAATTCTCTTTCCTCATTAATTTCTTCATCTTCCCATTACTCAGCAAAAGAGTGATTCCACAGCCATTTTCCTGTATTGATTGGGACTCAGAGTAAGTAAGACGAAAAGTGGAGGGGTTCAAGAAGCTAATGTTAAATGCTGTGTAGGTAAAAGATTCTGGGAAATTCTCTAAACAAGCAGATTATTCCATATGTAAGTTACTGGGACTGTAAGTAACTGTAGAATCTTCTGCACAGTATATCAGGTGCTGTACTATCATGATCTGTATGATAAGATGTAAAAGCACTTATTTTCTGTGTGTCTGTATATCAATAAATTCTGATGGATCAATTAAAATTCACATATTTTACAGAATTACTTCATCCATTTCTTTTAATTTAAAGAAACATCATTTTGGAGGGTTGGCGCTGTGGCTCAATGGGTTGACACCCTGGCCTGGAGCGCCGACATCCCATATAGGCATAGGTTCTAGTCCCAGCTTCTCTTCTTCTGATCCAGCTCTCTGCTGTGGCCTGAGATGGCAGTGGAGGATGGTCCAAGTCCTTAGGCCCCTGTACCCACATGGGAGACCCGTAGGAGGCTCCTGTCTCCTGGCTTTGGATTGGCACAGCTCTGGCCATTGTGGTCATCTGGGGAGTGAGCCAACGGATGGAAGACCTCTCTCTCTGTCTCTACCTCTCTCTGTGTCCCTGTCTTTCAAATAAATAGAATAAATCTTAAAAGAAAGAGAAATATCATTTTCACTTTTATGGAAAGGGGAATAACTGCTGTACAATGAAAAGGAAATTCCCTCATCAATAAAACTTAAAAATATTCAGAAATCATTTACTGGAATATAGTATGTTCTTATGTGTTTGATTATAGATGACACAAATACACTATCTATATTCTGTTTTGGTTAAAATTTCTGCATGTGTGACTTCATTTTTTCCTTATAACCCCAATTCTTTTAGTATCATAAGATGGAAAATGAGTTCTATATAGGCCCCAATATAGGTTATTATTGGCAAGGACTTGTTTAGTTTTCCTGCTCTAAATATTCAAATGTTATAACTTTAGAAAGAAATATATTTATTTACTATACTAATGCCTTTCTAAAAATTTGTAAATCTCTATCTTCCTTTGTATATACTGATAATACTTCTGTTACGCTGCTGGAATTTACAGTTGTGTGTAATGCTGAAGAACTGAAACTGTCTTGTTCACAGCTTACAGGACTGAGCATGGCAACTTTACTGGAAGCAAGGTATATACCCTACATACATTATATGACTCTTGCAAAAGCATATATTGATACATAAAAGTCAAGTAAGTGTAAATTATGATGCTTTCTTAGGTGAAAAGAAGTCAATAAATGCTAATGATTTAAGAGTCACAGGCATTTAGAATTAGAGGGATCTTATAATACAGCAATACACAATTCTTCTTAAGTGCTGAAACTTAACTGAAAAGTGATCGCTGTTAAATATAAGAGTGGGAATAAGAGAGGAAAGAGATGTGCAATTCGGGACATGCTCAAGCTGACTTACCTCAAACAGTAGAGTTAGAAACATACCAGGGGATTCGAATTCAATCCCATCGAGGTGGCATGTACCAATGCCATCTCACTAGTCCCACTGATCAATTTCTGTTCACAATTGATCATAATGATAGGACTAAGAACCAAAGGGATCACATAAACAAGAATAGTGTCTGCAAATACTAGCTGATAGAATCAAAAAGGGAGAGAATGGTCCAACATGGGAAGTGAGATACACAGCAGACCCATAGAATGGCAAATGTCCTAACAGCACTCTGGCCTCAGAATCAGCCCTTAAGGCATGCGGATCCGGCTGAAATGCCTATGAGAGTATTTCAGGCATGGAAAGCTAAGACACTCTGGGGGAAAAAAAAACCTAAATGAAAGATCTCCGTGAGTGAGATCCCAGTGGAAAGAATGGGTCATCAAAGAAGGAGGTACCTTTCTCTGAAGGGAGGAGAGAACTTCCACTTTGACCATGGCCTTGTCTAAATATGATCAGAGTCAGTGAACTCAGGGGGCTTCCATAGCCTTGGCAGCTCATGACAAGAGCCTAGGGTGATTACTGATGCCATAAACAAGAGTGTCAATTTGTTAAGTCAACAACAGGAGTCACTGTGCACTTACTCCTCATGTAGGATCTTTGTCCTTAGTGTGCTGTACATTGAGATTTAATGCTATAACTAGTACTCAAACAGTATTTTTCACTTTATGTTTCTGTGTGGGAGCAAACTGTTGAAATCTTTACTTAATGTATGCTAAACTGATCTTCTGTATATAAAGAGAATCGAAAATGAATCTTGATGTGAATGGAAGGGGAGAGGGATTGGATAAGGGGAGGGTTGCGGTTTGGAGGGACGTTATGGGGGGGAAGCCATTGTCATCCATATTCTGTACTTTGGAAATTTATATTCATCAAATAAAAGTTAAAAAAGAAAACAAAACAAAACAAAAAATAATAACATTTATACATTTATTTTTAATATGAGGTCAAAATATTTTATTGAGTATAAAGTTAATGGTAAGAAAATTTAGAGTATTTTCATGAACATATAAATTTCATATTAGACTTCTTAATGTCAGTTTGCATTTTAAAGCTTATTGCCTAGTTTATTTCTATAAATAATGTACTTGGTCCCCTGTGCACAGAAGAAGCTGCTGGCTCCTAGCTTCAGACAGGCCCAGCTCTGTCCATTGAAGCTATTTGGGTAATGAACCAGTAGATGGAGTCTCTCTCTCTCTCTCTCTCTCTCTCTCTCTAATAAAATTAAAAATAAAAAGTTTTATTCTATCTATTTGAATAGCAGAATGATGGGAAGGGAGGAAGGGAGAGAGAAAAACTGATCATCCATCATCCATCCATCCTCAAATGGCTGCAACAGTTAGGTTGAGCCAGACTGAAAGCAGGAGCCAGAAACTCAATGATCTGGGTCACCCATGGGGTGATAGGAGCAAAAGTATTTAAGTCATTTTCCACTGCTTCCCCAGGCACATTAGCAGGGAGCTGGAATAGAAGTGGAGTAGCTGAGACTTAGAGGTAGTAGCTCACCACACCAGTACCACAGCACTGATCTCATTTTCCTTAGAGATTTATTTAGTTGAAAGGAGGCTGACAGAGAGAAGGAGAGACAGAGTGAGAACTAACAGATTCTTAATCATTTCCAGGGTTCAATATAAAGAAAATTATTTGCAGTTTGGAGCTGACATTGTGGCTCAACATGTTCAACCACTGCCTGTGATGCCAGCACCACATAAACATGCCAATTAATTTGGTTATTTACTTGGCAGTATGAAATATCTGAATATTTGAAAATTTTGAATCGTATTAATTCAATTGGGTTTTAAGATAAGATGTTATATCATATTTTAGCTCTTATAATGTTTTAAGTGATGATATTTTAAAGGCTTTTTCTGTGTTCTATCAATAATGATAATGGTTTGTTTTTTACAGTGACCATAGGATTACCATTTAAGGCAGTATTAGGTAAGAATACTCAACAGAATAATTTCCCAATGAATTATAGTATATTAGGATATTTTTAAATTGAAAAAAATAGGATTTCTTTCAGAGCTCATACATAAGTTATATTCAATATTGAAGATATTTACACTTTTATCACTTTGATTTAATTATTTGGCAAACTAAGTGATAATAATTATATACTATTACAGCTTTTTTAAATTGAAGACATTTAATGATGAAATAATATTTGTTTTAATTTCCGTACTCAAAATCTCAGAGAAAGTATTTCATTATTTATCAAATTCAGGAAAGTGTCATACCTAATATGGAAAAATTAGTGTGTAATAAAATGGAGTTTTTCTCATGTTTTCTTGGAAGTCTCATAGAAAAACTTTTAATTACATCAATCAAAATTTTCTCAGCCTTGTAAATTCTGGAAATCATTAGGTATTCTTTGCTGTTCCTACTTAATATTACCATACATTAGAACCAATGGGATATTTAACTATTTTTTAAAAATAAAATTGAGGATCTGGCATTTGGTATAGCTAGTTAAGCCACCACCTGCAATGCCATCATCCTATATGGATGCTGGTTTGTGCCTCAGCTGCCCCACTTCTGATCCAGATCCCTGACAATGCATCTAGAAAGTAGCAGAAGATGACCCAAGTTCATGAGACCCTGCCACCCATGTGGCACCCAGAAGTTCCTGGCTCTTAGCTTAAGCCTGGCCCAGCCTTGGGTGTTACAGTCATCTAGGAAGTGAATCAGCAGATGGGAGCACGCTCTCTCTCTCTTTTCCTTCTCCTTCTCCTTCTTCTCCTTCTGTAACTCTGCCTTTCAAATAAATAAATCTTTAAACCTAAAGAAAAGAAAAATACTTTTTGCAAGTTTTCTTAAATGGCATATTTAATTATAAAGATTCCAGCAATGGATAGAAAAATCATAATATCATAACAAGTCGTGCCAAATATACGTATTTGGAAGCATAAGATGTAGGTATATTTTTGAAAGAATAAATAAATATGGAACAAATTATTCAAAGACTCTGTTTTCTTTCTTTTTTCTGTTTTCTTTCCTCTTCTTTACCCAGCCTCCATCTTTGAAGCCTGACACCATTTTACTGATGCTGGAAGAAGAAATGGGAAATTTCTAACAGAAGTCTGTATTTAATGTCATTAGCTTTGGTAGAACACTACTAAATATATAATTAATATTTTAAGTTATAACAATTGTAAAACATAAAAATAAAAATACTATACCCTTAGGTTAAATGAATTGGGATAAATAAGTGCATTTCCTCTAGCTACCTCCCCTATACCTGTAGAGATTAGCATTAGGACATTTAAGAAGCCATATTGTGCTGGAGCAGAGAGAAGAGGAAAGAAACAAACAGAAGTCAGGAGATGTTAATAGTTTTGGATGTTGGGAGGAACAGCTAAACAGAATTCTATAATTAATTTAGAATGTTTGATCCAAATTTGTGAGGGCTGTGGTGAGTGCTTGGATTTAAGGAGCATAAACTCTTATTCCTTTCAACAACCTTATTCAACAACATGATTGCTGATTCTTCATTCTAACAGAAGATTTAGAGATTTGCTCTCAGGAGAGCTAGACAAAGAAAGTCCTCATAGAGGACTGCACTATCAAAGATGAGACACTATTTTCAACACATTTATCTCCAGAGAATTGGTTTAAATAGATGATGTGACCTATACTGACTGATGTTTGGACATCCTCCAACAACGGATCTCAGGTTCTACATAGTCCCCTACAGTGGGTTAGCCATATGACAACCCTACATAGAATTTATAAACAGGTGTGTGTGTGTGTGTGTGTGTTCACTTTTAACTGTTTACAGAATCCCTTTCTGCTTGGAAAATAACCTATTAAAGTGAAATTTTGGCATTAACCTTATTTACTATGTCTAGTCAACTCTGCACCTCATTGAAAAGTGCTCTGGAGATCCAGAGGTGTTCTTTTTTATAATTCCCTTTCTAGTATTTTCACCATTTGAAATTTATAGATATCCAACTATAATGAGATCATTTTCAGGTAGAATCACATAGTTGTGCTCCTTATAGATGTTTTATTTTCTCTTTCTATTTAATAGTACTTAATTCTGGAAATTAAGCATTATCTGAAATGCTTTCAAAATTGGCAGCAATATTTCTTGCTCAAGATCATAGTTCATAATAGTATGTGTGTAGATATTTGTAATATTTTACTATTCTAACTAGTTTCCTACTTGTTTGCTACTTTCATAGAAGTTAGGATTAGAAGAATAGCATCTAACTGAGAAGTAGTGAATTTAAGTAATTTGCTTCATGTTATGTGCATAAATATGATTGCATTGTACATTAATTTCTATGGCCTCTGTTTTATCAAAGCGCTGTATTCTATTTACTAAAATTTGTAGTTATTCTCTTGTTTCATCTTTAATTAATTTTCAAAAAAATCACCTTATGTTTGTTTTTACCTACGGAAACTATGCTTAAGAATAAAAAACAAAAACTTAAAGATAATTTACATAAACATTTAGATAGTTCTGTAGCTTATTTCCTTTCAGATATTTTTCATAGTCTACCATGTAAGGTTTAGTTGAAAGTGTTTTATTGTGTATTTGCAGTTCTAATCCTTGATATCTCGATTCTTTATATGATTTATTTAACATGCCTTAATTACTGCCATATGCCATCTGCTGAGGCCACTGAGCAAGAAAATAATCCTCTTGGAGGCTTCAAAACTGATGGTATCTTATGATAAGTACTCAAACATCTTTTTGCTCTTAGAGTACAAAAGAGTCACCCTAACTAGTCTCCGGTCAGGAAAGGCTTCTTAGAAGAAAGTAATGTCTAGACTGGTCTTTAAGAATGAAGTGCAATTCACTAAGAAAAAGATGGACACACTGTGCAAAGTGGGCCATATAGTCCCACACCTCAGGACAGCAGAATGAAGTACACAATCCATGTACATACGGTTCAGCATAGCTCAAGCCACATAGTTCTATGAAAATAGGAGATAGATTAGAAAGAGTAAGATATTAGAGGATCTAGTATGCCAAACTCAGGAATTTGTATTTTAATCTAAATGCTATTGATGGAATTGTAAAGAAGTATGTGACTGGATAAGATTTACCTTTTAAGAAAGAGTTCTCTGCAGTGGCATTGAAGGTTGGAGACTGAAGGTGGGCAAATCATGCCAGAGATCTTGTGATTACCTTAATCCCATGCTATAAGCAAGGTGCTGTTTGTGTGTGTGAGGAAGTTATAATCTGACAGAAGAATACAATGCATTTTATATCTAGGCATTGTGTGAACTTATTTAAAATAAATATTATGTAATTATTTTTAAAATATATTTCCAAAATAATGGAAAATGGTCCATGTCTCTGGGCCCCTGCTACCCCTGTGGGAGACCCATAAGAATCTTTTGGATGCTAGCTTCAGCCTGTCCCAGTCTCAGATATGTAGCCATCTGGGAAGTGAAACAATAGATGGAAGATCTCTGTGTGTCTCTTCTTTCTCTCTGTAGCTCTTTCTGTCTCATAAATAAATAAATCCTGGGGCCGGCACTGTAGCACAGTGGGTTAAAGTCCTGGCCTGAAGTGCCAGCATCCCATATAGGTGCCCATTGTAGTCCTGGCTGCTCCTCTTCCAATCCAGCTCTGTGCTATTGCCTGGGAAAGCAATAGAAGATGGCCCAAGTGCTTGGGCCCCTGTACCCACATGGGAGATCTGGAAGAAGCTCCTGGCTCCTGGCTTTGGATCGGCACAGCTCTAGCCATTGTGGCCATCTGGAGAGTGAACCAGCAGATGTACAACCTCTGTCTCTATTTTTCTCTGTGACTCTGTCTTTCAAGTAAATAAAATAAATCTTTAAAAAAAGAGCAAATAAATAAATCTTTAAAAATAAAAGTGTTAAAAACCTGTTCCAAATCTTTCATAAAAGTAAGATTTCATTCCTTTTTTATTGCTGATTAGTATTCCATTATGTATATATACAATACTTTGTTTATCCAGCATTGGTTGATTCCATAACTAAGCTATTGTGAATTGAGCCGAAATAAACTTTTGGGTACACATAAATTTTTCCATATGCTGATTTCATTTCATTTGGATAAATTCCGATAAGTGGGATTGCTAGTCATATAGTAGATCTATTTTCAGATTCTGAGGAATCTCCATAGTGTCTTCCACAATGTCCATACTAGTTTATGTTCCCAAAAATTGTATATTAGGGAACATTTTCCCAACATCCTAACCAGCATTTATGTTTTGTTGATTTCTATGTGGTTGCTATTCTAGCTGGGATGAGGGGAAACTTCATTCTGGTTTTTAATTCACGTTTCCATGATGGCTAGTGATTCTGAGCATTTTTTCATGTATTTGTTGGCCATTTGAATTTTATCTTTAAAAAAAAAGCCTATTCAAGTCCTTTGCACATTTATTAACTGGTTTCTTTGTTTTGTTGTTGAGTTACTTGAAATTAAGATGATTCTGGCCTCATAGGAGTTGGGGAGGATTCCCTCCCTTTCAGTTGTTTTGAATAGTTTGAGCAGAATACAATTAATTCTTTAGAAGTCTGGTAGAATTGAACAGTGAAGTCATTTGGTGCTGGGCTTTTCTTGTTGGGAGGGTTTTTATTACTGATTCAGTCTTCATCTTGGTTTTTGGTCTGCTTAGCTTTTCTATGTCTTTATGTCTCAGTTTGGGTAGATGGTATGTTTCCAGACAGCTATCCATTTCTTCCAGATTTTCCAGTTTGTTGGCATATTTTGTGTTAGTCATTTCTGTGGACTCTTATGGAACTATTGGCATCTGCCTATGAAAGAAGCTACACAAGAATAAACGATGTAAAATATTGTGACACTATATACACCTTTTAAAAAAATGTTGATTGGAAAAGCAGACTTGCAGAGAGAGGAGAGACAGAGACAGACAGAAGAGAGATCTCCCATTCAGTGGTTCAATCCCCAAATTACTACAATGGTCAGGGTTCAGGCAGGCTGAAGCAAGGAGCCATGAGTTTGTCCTGGGTCTCCTATATGGGAGGAAGGGGCTGAAGCACTTGGGGCATCATTTCCAGGCACGTTAGTAGGGAGTTGGATTGGAATTGGAACAGATAGAACACAAACAGGCAGCTATATGGGATGCCAACATGTCAGGTGGCACTTTAAGCCATTATGGCATAGTGTCAGCCTCACTATATACAAATATTAAATAAAATTTATTTATAGAGCAATTACTGAAATACGTTATATGAAAATCCAGTTGTACACTAGATAAAAATTGGCAATGCAAAATGATTTTGATCAAAAATAATTTTAAAATCTATATAGTCTCTTTCCACCACAGTATTTTTTTTTTGACAGGCAGAGTTAGACAGTGAGAGAGAGACAGAGAGAAAGGTCTTCCTTCCATTGGTTCAGCCCCCAAATGGCTGCTACCAAATGAGCCAAACTGAAGCCAGGAGCCAGGTGCTTCTTCCTGGTCTCCCATGTGGGAGCAGGGCCCAAGCACTTGGGCCATCCTCCACTGCCTTTCCAGGCCACAGCAGAGAGCTGGACTACAAGAGGAGCCACCAGGACAGAACTGGCACCCCAACCAGGACTAGCACCTGGAGTACCGGTGCCACAGGCGGAGGATTAGCCTAGTGAGCCATGGCACCAGCCTCCACAGTATTTTTAGTTGGAGTAAGATAACCTGGAATGACTGAATTTTTTTCCCTTATCTAGCAAAATTGACATTAAACTGCAAGGTTTCTGATCTGGTCAGCTCTTGCATTGCATTTTGTACATATCCCTTAACATTTTATTCCATAATTGTTCACCCGTAAAGGATAGAACATGTCTAACTTAAGAGACAGGTAATAATGCATTTTTTCTCTGCCCTAGCATATCTTTTTGATATATTGGAACTATTAGAAATTCATGAAACAATAGAAATATTTTCTTCCTTCTTAGAATCATCTAAATTTCAAGATTATTTTTTAAACTTCAGGTAAAAGTTTGGGATAATTCTTATTCACAGAGGTTGGTACAGGAGATAATTGAGATTTAAAGGAAGATTGAAGGCATATGGTAATTATCTTGCAATAATAAAGGAATTATCCTGACTTTGAAAATACCATTCTAATAACTTCCTTGATCTATTATAATAGCTTTAGCTTTAAGTTATCTGCTGATGTGCTAGTATTATTTAATTTTATTCAAAGTACTTTAATTATAGACACAGTAAATTAAATGACTTATACAAAGGTTCCATTTTATTTTATACTAAAGTCATGGACATTGGTTTTTAAATTATTGCTTCCTATCTTAATTATACAACTTTTATTCATGATATCTTGGTTTACTATTTGGATAAATAGAAATGTAAAATATGAAGCTCACAATGATCAACTTACAGTCAATGATTTGGGCTTGAGAACTGATTAAGACAGAAACTATAGAAGAATGTGAATTGAGAATGCTCGATGATTTCATGTCAGAAGGTTCTATTCTTAGCTATGATATAACTACTAATTAGTATGTACCAAGTATCTGTTAGCTATAAAAAAGTGGGCCTGTTATTACAAATTATTTTGATATTTTCCCCTTCCTACAGGGGAAAGTTAA